GAGGGGCACCGTAGGGGCCCCGCATGGATCGCCCTCATGATCGATTAGCAAAATTTTCTAAGTCCAAAAATCAAATATTTTTTTATCACCAAAAAATTAATGTTTATAATGATTCAGAACCACGAAAAACGCGTTTTTAATAAAAATATATTTACACTTTTTTGAAAATAACACTCACACTTATGGCAAAATAGATGAGGGCCACCGTAGGGGCCCGCATGGATCGCCCTCATGATCGATTAGCAAAATTTTCTAAGTCCAAAAATCAAATATTTTTTTATCAACAAAAAATGAATGTTTCCAATGATTTAAAACAACGAAAAACGCGTTTTTAATAAAAATATATTTACACTTTTTTGAAAATTCGCCTGAGATGATTCATGATAATAATCATAAAGCATATAATTAATTATATTTTATAAATTGCATTTGATTGGAAAATATAATTTAATATCTTAACTTTAACTAAATGATGTTAAGCACTTTTCTTTGTTAGGTATTTTTGAAGTTTAAATAGCATCAAGAAGTTAGCATTCGTTTTGAAGTAGCGTACGTAGCGTAGTTGGTAAAGCGTTAGACTCATAGTCCGTAGGTCGTAGGTTCGATTCCCCCCATGCGTTAGATTTATTTATTTCTCAGGTTTGCGTTTAATCATTAATTCTATGTATGAATTAATTGAAAAATGAAAATATCCGTTAATAGTATGCATAAATTAAATATTTTTTAATTTTTTAATTAATTAATTTATTATTACTTTTAATTATATCCGACAGTTAATTAATTAGAACGTTAATTAATAAATTGAATTTGAGTAAGAATTTAATTTAAAATTGAATAATTATTAAATAAATATGTTATTTATTCATAACTTAAGCTTATTTATTATTAATTAACTTTTATTATTAATATTATTGATTAAAAAACATTATGGCAAACTTGAGGGCAAGATGAGGGCAAACGTGAGGGCCCATAAGGGCGCCCGTAGGGGCACCCTCATGGATCGCCCATGCGGGCGCCCTCATCGATGAGCATGTCGTTTCCATGAGGGGCCCCTATGGATCATCCATATGCGGCCCTCATGGCATGAGGGCGATCCATAAGGGCCCCCGCTGGGGGCCCACATCACTTTTCCACACGGGTATATATATATATATATATTTAGGAATATTTATAATTGATTAACCAAATCGATCGAGAACTAACTGTAGATAACAATGAAAATGCATTCTTCCTATTATCTCCGCGACAAAAAAAAGCATGCAATAAGATAATTAACCGGCTTTCGTTCATTTTCTATGGTTACCACTGTTGATAATACAGAATCGCTTTATACGCATATATGTATATACATTGTAGTTAACAGAAAGCAATTTATAAGCATTCCAGATACTAACATATATAATTTAACATACTCCGAAGGTATAGCAGCAAAAAATCAATAGTCTTATTTCATTATTTTAAAAAAAATTTATTATCATCCTTATTTTTGAGCATAAGAAATTTTTTTTTCTCATTCCATATCGATCTCTATTTTTGTAGCGATAAAAAAAAGATAAAAAAAAATTTATTGTAACCATGAAGGTTAAATAAAGGTCTTAAAAGAAAATTGTAGGTTAAAATTGTGTGTGTGTGTAAGAGAGAATAGGTCATTAAAGTCTCGGGATTAGGTCTGATGGTGGGTCAAATGTAAAACGACCATAATAGACATATATATATATATATATATATATATATATATATATATATATATATATATATAGTAAAGGTGGGACATGCGGTTTTACTCTATGTAATATCGTGTTGTCGTCAAGTCAGTGGTTAAAGAGGCAATAGCCAGACACGAACGAGGAAAAGGGTTGAAAGAGGAAGGAAGGAAGAATCGATAGAAACACGGCACGCGCCAGTCTTCCAGTTCGGGTCTCTCTCTCTCTCTCTTTTCTCTCTCTTTTTCTCTCCCCTTCCCTCTCTCTATTTCTCATCTCTCTCACACTAGTTCGCTACAAAACCACTTCTGCGTTGACAAGCCCCAACCACTTTGGACCCTCCTTCTCTCTCTCTCTCTCTCTCTCTCTCTCTCTCTCTCTCTCTCTCTCTCTCTCTCTCTCTCTCTCTCTCTCTCTCTCTCTCTCTCTCTCTCTCTCTCCTCTTCATCCTCTTCAACAATCCTTAGGACGATAACTCCTACGATTCAAATCCCACTTCGTCATTCAGATAATAGATCCTTTTTTCTTCCGTTTAACACTGTTGATGCAAGCTTTCACAAATCCAGATAAGCAATCATTTTTCAACTATCTATATATCGAATCAAAAAACGATTTTTTTTTTCAATAGAAAATTTTATTTCTTTTGTTTTCAGTTAAATTTACAATTACCTATATAAAATTACAATCATTTTTTTAAATCTGACTTAATATTTACTTGTACTACTGATAAAAGTATCAAAAAAAATATTTATTAAGTCTGACTAAACATTTATTTGTACTACTGAAAAATAACACAAAGCAAAATTTAAAAAGTCTGACTGAATATTGACTTGTACTACTTATAAAAGTAGCAAAAAAAAAAATTTAAATAGTCTAACTTAATATTTACTTGTACTACTCATAATGGTAGGAATTTTTTTTTTCAATTCTGACCAAATATTGACTTGTACTACTTAGAAAAGCACAAAAAAATTCGTCTGACGAAATTTTGACTTATACTACTGAAAAAATAACAAAAAATTTTTTAAATTCTGACTAAATATTTATTTGTACTACTGAAAAACTACGAAACAAATTTAAACAGTCTGACTAAATATTGACTTGTAGTACTGAAAAAACATAAAATTTATAAAAAGTCTTACTAAATATTTATTTGTAATACTGAAAAAACTGAAAAAAAAATTTAAAAAGTCTGATTAAATATTAACTTCTACTACTTATAAAAGCATCAAAAAAATTTAAATAGTCTGACAAAAATATTTTAACTTGTACTACTTATGATGGTACAAAAATTCTTTTTAAATTCTAACGAAATATTGACTTATACTACTGAAAAAATTACAAAAATTTATAAAAAGTCTTCCTAAATATGTATTTATTTGTACTACTGAAAAAAACTACAAAAAAAGTTTTAAAATGTTTTATTAAATATTGACAGGTGAATTGAAATTTTTAACCACCCATAGAGGTAAATAAATTAATAATACAATGTAATGTAATATAAAATAAAAATTAAAAATACAAAAATTAAAAATATTAAAATATTAAAATATTAAAAAATAATATTTTATTGAATAAAATAAAATTTAAATATATTATAAATAAATAAATAAATTTTATTAAATAGTAATAATAAAAAATATTACAAAATATTAATGTAGGAAAAAAATTACCTAAAAGAAAAACATATCTGACTAAACCTGTCTGTTACTACTGAAAAATAAAATAAAGCTTCTATGAATAGAAAAAAAAAATTGTTATATGTCTGACTAAAATTGGTATTTACTACTTTTTGAAGTAAAATAAAATAATCAAATAAAAATTTATATAAAAGCTTTCTTTTCGACTGAAACAAATTTTATAATTAAAAAAAAAAAATGATTTATCATTTATTTCAAAAAAACTAATACTTCTTTAAAGGAGAGAGAGAGAGAGAGAGAGAGAGAGAGAGAGAGAGAGAGAGAGAGAGAGAGAGAGAGAGAGAGAGAGAGAGAGAGAGAGAGAGAGAGAGAGAGAGAGAGAGAGAGAGAGAGAGAGAGAGAGAGAGAGAGAGAGAGAGAGAGAGAGAGAGAGAGAGAGAGAGAAAATTGTTACACTTCATCAGAAATACACAATTTATATACGGTACGCTTGTTGCAGCTTAACAAAATATTCGCGGTAACGAACTGAAGGTCTTACCATTAGGAAATTCAATTTATCGGTTCATAGCCACTGCTACAGACATTTTATTTAACTGACAGACCGGAAACCGCATTCAATTCATTTTCCACTTCATTTTTCTGCATTTTTTTTTTTATTTTTATTTTTAACTTGTATGAAGATTCTTCATTTTATATATTATTTTCTTTCAAATTATTATAATATTAAACCCCAAATTTTTTCCAGAATTAATTTCCGCATTATTATTAATTATTATTTAAAATTATTATTATTATTATTATTATTATTATTATTATACCATAAAAAAATTATTTATTTAGAATATTCTGAATTATTAAATTTAATAATAAGAATAAATAGTAAAAATAATAATCAATTAACAAATTCTTTATGAAAAAATTGAGGTAGAAAAATAATGTCAGTTTAGAAAAAAAAATTTTTACATTTTTTACTTTTCACTCAACTTAAGAAATTTTTACAATTAATAAATATTGTTCTGGTAGTTAATAATTATTATACGCTAAATGTAGTTAATCATTTATAATTAAAGTTTGCATGGATAAGAGGATGGGGAAAATAATAATAATAATTGATATAGTTACTAAATTTATATATATATATATAGAGAGAGAGAGAGAAAATTGAACATATAGGGAAGACATTAGTGTTGAATCAAGGACTTTTGGTTGTTGAGGTAAATCGACAAAGTTTAGTCTAATATTGTAGCAAAACTTCTGAACTCGAAAAGGGATTCCGTACAATTTACTCAAGACTGATGATTATCTAATGCCGCCCATTCTTCACTGTTAATGAAGAAAATTTCTCTCTATTAAAAAAAAAGTCCATTTACAAAGTTTTATAATCTGAAAAAAAACCCAACAATTACTAATAATAATAATTACACACTATTTTTTCATTTCTATTTATAAAATTTACAATTTTATTTTTACATACATTTATTTATATATAAAATTAATATTTTAATTTTCTTAAACAAATTTTTTTTTATATTTTTAATATAACTATTATTCTGTATTTTATTTTTATATATATTTTTTTTAAATAAAACTTTTTATCTTTTTTATCAAAAGTTCTTTTTTTTTGTAATTTGATTTTTTTTTTAAATAAAATTCTGTGAATGAGTTAATTATTTTTTTAAACAATGGTTTAGAAATTTGTAATTGTGATTTTTGATGAAAAAAAATTTACGGGTAATTTAAGATTAGTTTTGTATTTTCTGTTATTCAATAAAAAAACCATTAGTCATGTCGTTTCTTGAAAACCAAAAAAAAAAAAAAAAATTTCGAGAAATGTGAGACTTGTAAAACGGAAAAAAATATATAGGATATATAGTCACAAATCAAACAGAAAATACATTTACCCGTTTTCTTGTTGTTTCTATGTAAATATTTGTTTGTGAAAACATACGCTTGTTTCTCTCATTTTTGAAGAATGTATTTTCTCGTGTATTTTTGCTTTCGCTGGGTCTGGTCTATTCACCCCCCCCCGACCCCAATTTTCTTTTTTTTTTTGCCCCCTTCCAACACTCTTCATTCAACCGCCATGAAAATCTACCACCACAAAGTCCTTTCTCATCCCTCGAAGTATATATATATATATATATTTTTTTTTTTCTATCTTCCTTCAACTCACTCGGCAATCAATTTCGAACTCCAGTGCAATACTCCTGTGAAATATGAGATAAACCAATTTAAAAAGAGCTCGGTCGTTCACCTCTTTTATATTTAATTTATACTTTTTTTTTTGTTGCCTCCCCTCAACTCGCTGTGGTATTTTTATTAATCTAAAAGTAAAATAACATGACAATTGAATTTTCTAATTTTATTAGAAAAATGCTAATTATAAAAATTGTTATTTATTTGAAATGGAAAATTCTTATAAATGTTTTTGGGCACAAATATTTTTTTACAAATTGAAATTAAACAAATTTTTAAAATTTAGTTTTCGAATGTAATAATTTTTCATATTTCTTTATTAAAAAAAAAAAATTTCAAACGATTTATATATTTTTTTTAAAAAATAGAAGTTAATTTTTTTAAAATAGTATTCGAATTTTCCTTGTTTTCTCTCTTTTAAGTATATTTACTAAAAATGGAAATAAATTTGCACGAGTATTTTTTGATGTTATTTTTCTCGTGACGTTTTGCAATTCTTTTTTTTTGTATATATGCATGTTTTTCTCTTACTTTAGCTATATATATATATATATATGGATGTTTACTGTAATATTCCTCCTTCATTTTACTAAAAGCAACGTCTCTTTTGAACGATCCATTTGTCCCCCACTCCTTTGCTTCTTGTGACTTTTTCTGTTTCTTTTATTCTACGAATCTTCATATGACTGATAAAAAAAAAAAAATTCAATTGTATGCTTTTATATTAAAATAAGAAAATAGAAAGAAAATTAAAAATTAATTTTAATAAAACAGAAAAAGGGAAATTTTTTTCCTGTTTGACTGATACTGACTTTTACTACTGAAAAAAGTTTTCAAGCTAAATTATAATTAATTAAAAAATAATAGGCAAATCGCATAAACAATGTCTGACTATAATTTTCATTAACTACTGATAAAATTTCAATTTGTCTGACTAAAACTGTCTTGTACTACTGGAAAAAAATTCCAAGGTAGAAAAATAAACCAAAAAATCCCAAATTGGCAAATCTCGAGTACAATGGCTCCTGTAAAAAGAAAAATATAATTTAAAAATTTTGAGGGGGGATGTCAGAATTTTTTCAAGAAATAACCTGTCAGCTTAAAAAAAAAAAAAAAAAAAAAAATACGATGAGTAACGAAAACATGAAAAATATATTTGGTTTTCTCAAAGAAGAGAGAGAGAGAGAGAGAGAGAGAGAGAGAGAGAGAGAAACTCCCCCCTCTCCTCTTTACGTCTTCCACCCTCTCAAGAATCCCTTTCCACTTTTTTTACCCCCTCTTACTTTTTCCCCCACCCCCTCAGTTCCAACCTAAACCCCCTTCCCTTCAACTATTTTGTTCCCTCGTCTGCAGCCTCATTTTAAAGTTTCAAAGGAAAAAGTGGAAATACTTTAACTCGAAATGAAATTTCGAAAGAAAGCACAACGAAGGAAGGCAAGAAAGAAAGAAGGAAGTCGACTAAAAGTTTTGCCCCCTTCACCTTCCCCCAACCCCTTTCCATTGAAAATTCGCGATATGAGCTCGACAACGAAAATTAGAACACGTCTGAACGTTCACTTTATGTAAAAGATGAAACACACGAGAGTAATCTCTTCTTTTTATTTTCAACAAAAACATTCTTTTCCCTTAACTTTATATATAATATAGATTTGGTAAACGAGAAAAAAATTTAGCAATAACAAATTGAGACGAAAAAACCAAAAATATTTATAAAATATAATATTTATTATGTTTAATTTAGTATTTATTTTTTTTACTAAATAACTAATTTTACTAAAAAAAATTGCAAACAGGAAAAAATTGTCATGGCTGATTAAACATTAAGTTATACTACTGATAAAATTGCAAAAATTTTTTGGACGTATGATTGAATATTGACTTTTACTACTGACAAAATTCACAAATTTCTGTAATGTTTGACTAAATAGTTACTTTTACTGTTGATAAAGTTAGAAACGATTATAAAGTCAAACATTGACTTGTACTACTGAAAATATTTGAATATAAAATTAGAACTGACTAAATATTTACTTTTACTACTTATTTTCTTATTTAATATTTATTATGTCTGACTAAAAATTAAATTTACCAACTAATAAAATTATATGAAAAAAATAATTAGCAAGTCAGATTTAATATTTACTTATACTACTGATAAAATTACAATCAATTTTTAAGTCTGGCTTAATATTCACTTGTACTACTGAAAAACTACGAAACAAATTTTAAAGATCTGACTAAATATTGACTTGTACTACTTAGAAAAGCACCAAAAAATTTAAATAGTCTGATTTAATATTTACCTGTACTACTTATAATGGTACGAACATTTTTTTCAATTCTAACCAAATATTGACTTGTACTACTGAAAAAATTACAAAAATTTATAAAAAGTCTTCCTAAATATGTATTTATTTGTACTACTGAAAAAACTAAAAAACAAGTTTAAAATTTTTGATTAAATATTAACTTGTACTACTTATAAAAGTGCCAAAAAATTTAAAGTCTGACGAAATTTTGACTGATACTACTGAAAAAATAACAAAAAATTTTTAAGATCTGACTAAATATTTATTTGTACTACTGAATAACTACGAAACAAATTTAAAAAGGCTGGCTAAATATTGACTTGTACTACTGAAAAATAAAAAATTTAAAGTCGGACTAAATATTTATTTGTACTACTGCAAAAACTACATAAAAAAATTAAAAATTTCTGTTTAAATATTGACTTGTACTACTTATAAAAGCGCTAAAAAATCTAAATAGTCGGACAGAAATATTCACTTGTGCTACTTATAAAAACACCAAAAATTTTAATAGTCTGACAAAAAATTTACTTGTACTACTGATAAAAGCACGAAAAATTTTTAATCCTAAACAAATGTTGACTTATACTACTGATAAAATTAAAAACGATTAAAAAACGTAACAATATATTGACTCGTACTACTGAAAAAGCTACAAAACAAATTTAAAATTTTTGATTAAATGTTGACTTCTACTACTGAAAAAATAACAAAAATTTAAAAAGTCTGACTAAATATTGATTTGTACTACTTACAAGAATACAAAAAATTCAAAAATTCTGACAGAATATTGACTTGTACTAATGAAAAATAACAAATAATTTATAAGCAGCCTCACTAAATATTTATTTGTACTACTGAAAAACTACGAAACAAATTTAAATAGTGTGACTAAATACTGACATATACTACTTACACTGTAAAAAGAAAGTACTAAAACAGTACTAATTTTAGGTATCAAAATAGAACCAAATTATAATTTAGTAATTAAAGAATCTAACGGAATATTGACTTGTACTACTGAAAAAAAATAATTTAAAAAGTCAGACTTAAATCATTGACTTTCACTTATGCAAAAAATTAAATTTTGTTTAACGAAGTGAACATTCTGAAGGTTGATTTAAAACTAAGCAAAAATAAAGCGACATATAGTTGATATTGATAAATTGAACAGGATTCGAAAAAAATAATAAATTATTAAAACTTGACTTGTTATATTTTCTCCGTACTATTTTATTATTCGTACACGCAAGTTTAGTTATAATTATATACCAAGCGAAGCTATATTATAATTACATATATCACCTCTATTTATCGTGTGTAAAAAATTCTTATGTCTTTGTGCAAAGAACATATATAAGCAATTATACATTGATTAAATGAAAAAAGGGCTTTAAAATAAATGTCATTTCTTTCCTCTTTTGATATTATATATATATATATATATCTAGTCTATATGAATCACACACAGTATGATTACAGCAAAATTTTCATTTACAATTTTAAAATATTCCGGTCTTTGGCGACCAAAATCACTTCGATCACAATGGGCGTTTTTACTTTATAATTTATATAGTTTTACAATTGTTTTTCTATTTGTCACACTTGACATGTCATTATTATTGTTTATAATTTTAATTCCAACTAATGTAGAAATATTAATGAAAAATCTTATGTTTTTTATTGGTGCCTTTTCATTGAATTTCAAAGTTATTTATATTTTATTACGTCGCAATGAATTTATTCAATTTGACAATATGTTTTTGGAAAAATATTGTCATCCACGTGATGAGCATGAATTTTTCATACAAACAAAAATCGACAATTTCAATAGGTTTGTCATTTAAAACAAAAAAAAATGAAAACAAATTTATGTAATTCAAATAATCAGTTACTTGACTATAAATTTTTTATATTAATTTTTTATTTGAGTCAAATGTATTTATTTTAAATAGCAAAAATTATTGATTCGAATATTTGATTTAAATAAAAAATTTTTGGTTTAAAATATAAACATTTATTTGGTCTAAAGAAATATTTATTTGTTAATAAATTTGTTAAATTATTTTTTTATTATCAAATAAATATTTAGTAAGGTAAATTAGTAAAATATATTAATAAATATTTATTTGATAATAAATTTTTTTTTTTTATTATCAAATAAATACCCAATCGAAAATTTACTACTGGCGTAGTACTGGCGCAGTACTGGCACCCAGTATTGGAATTAAGTTTTGGAAATGGTCTCAGAAAACTTTTTAACTAAATAATTTTACCAAGAGAAGAGCAAAATAAAATACAATTTTAATTTTGAAAAACAAAATCAGACTGCCCAGCCTCGGCAGCCAATACTGAACCAGTACTGCGCCAATAGTTAACTCTGGTATAATACTGAAATTTTTGCTTGGGTATTTAATTGTTATTTTTTAATGTTAATAGAAAAATAAAGCTTCTATTTCTTTCAGAATAAATTCCATTCGTTACTTTGCAGTATGTTACGTGTATTTTGCATTTAATTTTGTCATTTTGTCATTGGCATCGAATGATATTGAAAGTTCATTGCCGATGAAAGCATGGATTCCTTATAATATAGATAAAAATTTTAATTTTTGGATTGCTTATTTACATGAAACATTGGTAATGTTAATAATGATTCATGCATATGTTGCATTAAATGGTCTTACAATTGGAATGATGCAACAAATTTGTGGTCAATTGGACATTATTAGTCATCGTTTATGTCAAATTGATAAATTAGTTAAAAAAAATGATCAAATTCCTACTAATTCACAATTTATTATTCTTAAACAATGCGTGCATCATCATTCTTACGTCTATTTGTAAGAATAAATTTTTAATAATTATATTGTTCTTAAAAAATATTTTATTCTTAATTTTTTTTTTTTTTTAATTTAATTTCTTTTAATAATATAGTACTTTTTAAATAATAATAAATTAATTATATTTTTTTAATAACTGTCGATAAATAAATAAAGTAAATAAAATTTTTATTAAATTTAAAAAAAAATTAATTCTTTTAGAATTGGCAAAAAGTTGAATAATATTCTCGGTTGGTTGGCACTTTTTATGTCTCTTATTACAATTATTATTTTATGTTCAATGATTTATCAAGTGTCAACACACAAACCAAATTCATTGGAATTTTGGTCATCAATTGCATCTTCCAATAGTCTTCTAATAGAAATATTTCTCTATTGTTGGTTTGGTCAGGAAATGATTGGAAAGGTGATATTTTTTTTCTGCAAATTAATTATAATTATGAATTTTATATTTATTTATTATAATTATAATTTTAATAAAATTTGAAATAATTTAGAGTACAGGTATAGCCGATGCGGCCTACGAAATTGACTGGTCAAATTTATCAATAAAATCAAAAAAATATTTAATTCTTATAATATTACGAGCTGCTAGGCCCATACAATGGAGTGGTTTTTCAATTGTTACAATGTCATTGGAAACATTTTTCAAGGTTTTAAATTTTTATTATAGTTAATTATTGAATTAATTAATTAATTAATTAATAATTGGAGCTAATTTCTTTTTATTTTTCAGGTTTTAAAAGTATCTTACTCGAGTTTTAATCTTATTAAATCGATGTAAGATTCGAGTTTTAAAAAAACAAAATTTACGGATAATTATTAGACAAAAATAAAATCCAAGAATATGAAAAATGAAATAAATTATTATTTGAAGAAAATAAATTAATTATATAATTATTAATTTAATGAATTAATTGGTATTCATTTCAAATACACAAATATTTGTAGCTAATATTTAATGAAAATAAAAATTATTTGCTTCAAGTATATATTTATTTGATAATAGTAACCAATTATTTGAAGTAAATATATATATATATATATTTTAGTTTAACAATGTTAACAGTTTGAAGGATGATGTCGAACTGAGCAAATAAAAAATAAAAATTAATTTACCTGTGTATTTCTTGCCAACAGGATGGCAAATTATCAATTATTAAACTATATCCCTCATGGTTATATTTTCTCGCTTTATTCGTACACGCGAGTTTTATTAATTCACAGAAAATTTAAAGGCATTAAAATAAGCTGCATCGCTTATTATTTTAATCTAATTTTGCTTATTTTAATCCAATTTGGTATTAAAATAAGCAAAATTGGATTAAAATAATAAGCGTTGCAGCTTATTTTAATACCTTATAATTTTCTGTGTTATTCTAAGCTATTATAACTATAAATTATTGGGAAAAATAAAAATGATGAACAATTCAGACAAAGGAATAATTCCACTAATCGCACTGATTTTTTTATAGCTGTAAAGTAGTAAAATAAATTGAAAATTATGTTCACTTCATGAACATTATTGTTAATTTATTGTTAATTAATGTTTATCGTTATTGTTATTGTTATTATATTTTATTATATTTAATAATAATAATAGCCCTTGCCCTTATAAAAATAATAAGATAATAAAGAAAAAAAAAAATTCAAAATTATTTTTGGTATTAACTCTTATTTTGTAATAATATAATTTTGCAATTTAATTTTAACATAAATTTTGTTTAAGGAAAATTAGAGGAATTTATTGAAAAAAAAGATTCGATTAATTGATAAAACAAATTGAAAACAATACAAAAACAGTTGTCTGGAACAATTTAACCGAAAAAATATCAGAATTAACAAAAAATTTTTTATGTTTTTAAAAATAGATATTTTTACACAAAAAAAATATTATTTTATTCTTGCAGAATCTGAATTTACTCCTGGAGATAAGGTCACATTTATGAACTGCATTCGTCGACCAAAATAAGGTAAATTTTTTTTTTTTTAGTTACAATTTTTCTCTCCTATCATTATAGGTTTTCATCGGAAAAGAAAATAACACAGAAAAAAGAAAAATTTTCTAAATAATTTGCATTTCAATTCGTTTGTAGTGTCACAAATGGCAAATCACTTCCGTTTTCTTTTAACACTTCTTCTCACTACTGTGAATGAAAATTCAAAAAACATATTTAAATACAAATTACATTTAAATAAATTTTTTTTTTAAATTAATAAAATTATTAATAAATAAATATAGTAATAATTAATAATATAATAATAAATTAATAATTTGTCAATTATACCAATAATAGTTTAGAAAATATTTTCAATTATATAAATTTCAAATAAATCACTCGGTATTATTATAATTATAGAAATGAGAAATTTGTACTTTTATCGAAATTTTTTGTTTTATTTTATACTTTTTAATTATTTTAATAATAATAATTTTAAACGAAGTGAATACTACGAAGGTTGATGTTGAACTGAGTAAAAATAAAATCACTTATAGTTTAAGTGTAAATTTATTCCCGCCAGTAGAATAATTAAATATTAACTATGTTTCCTTGTTATATTTTCTCCCTGCAATATTTGTACACGCACGTTTTAATTAATTATTCTAAGACTAGAAACCGTTATAATTACATACGTGTCTCGTGTACCTTACAAAACTTGTAACAAAAAAAATTTTACCAATTATACATTAATTTTTATAAGCAAAAAGGGGTTTAAGATAATAGAATTTTTTTTTTTGATAATAAAAATCGTTTTATTCCCTCGATATTATAGTTCATTTATGAATTATAATTCACAGTATGATAACAGCAAAATTTTCATTTAAAATTTTACAATATTCCGGTCTTTGGCAACCAAAGTACTTAACATCAAAATGGATATTTTTACTCTATAGTATTTATAGTTTTTTTATACTATTTCTATTTGTCACAATTGACATTTCATTGATAATGTACGTTATATTTATTCCATCTGACATTTCAATAATGATGGAAAATATTATGGTATCAATGACAGTGTTTGCATTGATATTTAAGGTTATTTATGTTTTGTTTCGTCGCAATGACATTATTCAATTTGACGATATGTTCTTGAAAAAATATTGTGCACCACGTGACGAATATGAATTTTTTTTACAAAAAAAAATTGACAATTTCAATAGGTTTGTCATTTAAAAATGTTTTTTTTTTTTATAGGGTCAGAATTTCTCAAACGGATCACCTAAAATTCAGAAATTTTTTTTTTAGTCTCATTTTTTTTTTTAAGGTTTCTTACACAAAATTGTGTGGAGAATTAAAAAAAAAAAATTTATTTTCTGTAGGACCTCAAGAACACTATTTTTTAATAACATTTTATAAATAAATAATATAAAAATCTATTAAATATGAAATTTTTTCAAAATAAAAATTATATTTAGAAACTACATTTTAAGACGAGAAAAACCCTTTTTTTTAATTGATGAACAGGAACTCGAGAAAAAAATTTTTTAAAATAAGACTGCAAAAAATTTCAATTGTTTATAACTTTAACAAAAAATTTTTTTTGACCTAAAAATTTCAGGGACTTATTTTTACAAAGAAATGATTTTTGATGAAAAAAAAAAATTCTGAATTTTAGGTGATCCGTTTGAGAAATTCTGACCCTATATAATAATTTAATTTTACCAGTATAAATAAAAATTTATTTGTATCAATTATCAAATAATTTTCTTATTTTATTTCAAATAATTCTTTATTTGTTTCAAAATAATTAATTATTTTATTTCAAAAAATTTTTGATTGCTTCAAATAATTTGCTTTCAAATTATTTCTAATCAATTATTTTTTTTTGTTTTGAAATAATTTTTATTATAAATTTTATTTAAACCAATACATTCTGTATTTAGGACAAATAAAATTTAATTGATTCAAATAAAATTTAATTTATTGAAGAAAATATTTATTTGACAATAGATATAAGTTTTATTTGAATATTTAATTATGTGAATCAAAAATTACTTCTATCGGTGTAGTTTTGATTAGACAATTATTTTTTTAATTTTTAAATATCAGTGATTTTTTTTTAAATATTGTACAATAAAGAGAATTTAAAGAACTAATTTATTATTCTAAATTAAAAAGAAAATAATTTTATTTCTAGGGTAATTATTATTATTAATTTATAATTTTATAATTACAGATTAAATTCTATTCGTTTCTTTATAATATGTTACGTGTATTTTGTATTTAATTTTGTCATTTTGTCATTGGTATCAAAAGACATTTACAATTCATTGCCAATGAAAGCATGGTTTCCATACAATATACATGAAAAATTTAATTTTTGGATTGCTTATTTACATGAATCATTGGTAATGTTAATAATGTTTAACGCACAGGTTGGATTAGATGGTCTTGTTATTGGAATGATGCAACAAATTTGTGGTCAATTGGATATTATTAAACATCGATTATATCAAATTGATAAATTGTTTGAAAAAAATTACAATATTGATAATAATTTACAATTTATTGTTCTTAAAGAATGCTTACATCATCATTCTTATATTTATTTGTAAGTTGTTGATAGTTTTTTTTTTTTTTTTTTTATTATTATTAATTTCTGTACCATTCAATCGATATTAATAATTAATTAAATTTCGAAACAAAATTAATAATTAATTAAAAAATTTAATTTAATTAAAAAATAATAATAAATTTTTCTTAGAATGGGGAAAAAGTTGAACAATATTCTCGGCTCGTTGGCAGCTTTAATGTTTTTAATTACAATAATTGCACTTTGTTCGGTTATTTATCAAATATTTTTAGCTGATCCAAATTCAATGGAATTTTGGTCGTCAATTGCAACTTCCAATACTATTATTTTTGAAATATTTCTTTATTGTTGGTTTGGTCAAGAATTAATAGGAAAGGTGCTTAATATTTTTTTTCACGTATATTTTATGAAAGATAATAATTTTTTAAAAAAATGTCTTGAAAATTAATAAAAACAAAAAAAAAATCGAATAATAAAATTATTTTAATAATAATTTGAAATTTTTAAATTTTAATGATTTTATTTATTTTTAATTAATTTAATTTTAATCCCAGAGTGCAGGTATCGCTGATGTTGCATATGAAATTGATTGGACAAAATTGCCTATAAAATCAAAAAAATTATTGATTCTTATAATATTTGTGCTGGTAGGCCTTTGGAATTGAGTGGCTTGTCTATTGTTACAATGTCATTGGAAACATTTCTTAAGGTATTTAAATGTAAAAGCAAAAAAGAAATAAAATAATAAATTTAAACTTTTGTAATTTTTTTCACTTTCAGATTTTAAAAGTCTCTTACTCGAGTTTTAATCTTATCAAATCCATGTAATTTGCTCGTTACAAAAACAATCAAGGATAATTTAAACAAAGAAATAAAAACTCTGATATTAACATTAAAAATTTTTCTATCAGTCAAATTAATTTCAAATAAGAGAAAAATTATTATAAAAATTAAAAAATTCAGAACAAATAATAATGTACATTTGTAATTTTGTAAATAACAATTTTATTAATTGTACATGAATTATCATTCAATTTTGTTGTAAACTTGTAAAATATTAAATAAAATTCAAATATATTACAATAGAATACTATAAAAATTTTGTGTAATAATAAATCAATAATTTTTAATTACACCACTAATAATTATCACATTAAATTTTGTATTATTTTAATATCAAAATGGTATTAAAAAAAAAAAAAAAAAAAATTCAACACATCGAAAATTATGTTAAAATAATTCATTTAAAGATTAAAATTGCAACAAATTAATTTTTGCAAACTTTCAAAAATTGGACGTTTTTATTTACGAAATTTAAGAAACGAATTTTATTTTTAAAAATTCATTATTTTAATTACCAATAATAGTTTAGAAATATTTTCAATTATATAAATTTTAAATAAATCACTCGGTATTATTAATTATAGAAATGAGAAATTTGTACTTTTATCAAATTTTTTTTTTTATTTTATACATTTTAATTATTTTAATAATAATTTTAAACGAAGTGAATACTACGAAGGTTGATGTTGAACTGAGCAAAAATAAAATCACTTATAGTTTAAGTGTATAAATTTATTCCCGACAGTATAATTCGTAGAATAATTAAATATTAACTATATTCCCTTGTTATATTTTCTCCCTGCAAAATTTGTACACGCACGTTTTAATTAATTATTCTAAAACTAGAAACTGTTATAATTACATACATGTCTCGTGTACCTTACAAAACTTGTAACAAAAAAAAAATTTTACCAATTATACATTGATTTTTATAAGCAAAAAGAGGTTTAAGATAAAAATTGTTTTATTCCCACGATATTATATAATCCATTTATAAATTATAATTCACAAGTATGATAACAGCAAAATTTTCATTTAGAATTTTACAATATTCCGGTCTTTGGCGACCAAAATCACTTCGTTCGCAATGGGGTTTTTTACTTTATAATTTTTATAGTTTTCTAATTGTTTTTCTATTTGTCACACTTGACGCTTCATTATTATTATATATTATTTTAATTCCAACTGATATTGAAACATTAATGAAAAATGTTATGTTCTTTGTAACAGTATTTGGATTAAATTTCAAAGTTATTTATGTTTTATTACGTCGCAATGATATTATTCAATTTGACGATATGCTCTTGGAAAAATATTGTACTCCACGTGATAATCAGGAATTTGTCATACAAACAAAAATTGATAATTTCAATAGGTTTGTCTTTTTTTTTTTTTTTTTTTTGTCGTTAAAATTTAATTTTTCTGTTAAATTATAGTCCAACAATGAACTTTAGGGGGAAAAAAAATTGTGGCTCGTTTTTTTTGTATAGTTATTATTTTTTTTGGAAAAATTTTATAAAAATTCTAAATAATTTTAATTAAATTAAATTTAATTAAATTTCTAAATTCCAAAGACTGAAAAAAAATTAGGAAAACAGGCCTCGGATCGACTTAAAGGCACAAAAAAAGTCGTTTTATTTATATTCCAAAAAAAAGTCGATTTTTTTCATTTTAACAAAAAATTTTTAGATTTTAAAATAATAATAATAATAATTTTGAAAAGGGTTAAAGTTGAAATTTTAACAAATAACTGAATTTCAAAAGTTAATTTTCAGACAATAATTAAAATTTACAAAACTAAAAATAATTTATTAAATAATTTTAAATAACATTTTTTAAAAGCAACTGAATTTTCAAAGATTTACATTTGAAATTCTTGAAATTAATTGAACTTCAAGTGATTTTTAATTAAATTTTTTTTTTGATGATTTCACAAAAAAAAATTTATTAGAAATCACGGACAAAAATACAATAATTTAAAAATCATTTTTAATGGAAAAATGGTTTAAAATAGTTGAATTTTCGAAGAATATTATAAAAATAGTTTTAAAAAAATAATTGAATTTCTGAAGAGTTATAATTGAAATTATTAAATTTTAAAAAATTGTTGATGGAAAATTTTAGAAATAATTAAATTTTAGAAGCTTTTAAATTCAAAATTTTTGAATATAATTAAATTTCAATTGAAATTTTGGATAATAATTGAATTTTAGTTGATTTTTGATTGAAAATTTTAATAATAATTAATTTTAAATTGAAATTTTTGAGAATAATTGAATTTTAATTGATTTTAAATTGGAAATTTGGAAAATAATTGAATTTTAGTTGATTTTGAATTGAAATTTTTGAAAATAATTGAAATTTAGTTGATTTTGAATTGAAAATTTTGAAAATAATTGAATTTTAGTTGATTTTGAATTGAAATTTTTGAAAATAATTGAAATTTAGTTGATTTTGAATTGAAAATTTTGAAAATAATTGAATTTTATTTGATTTTGAATTGATTTGTGATTTAGAATTAAAAATTTTTGGTAATTTTATTTGATTTTTAATTTTAATTTTAAACATTTGTTAAATTTCATAAAAATTTTTAATTGAAAAATAATTTGAAATAATTGAATTTGTGACGAATTTCATTAAAATTATTAAAAATAATTAATTTAGTGAAGAATTTTAGTTAAAAATTTGTTAATTAATTGAAATAAAGAAGATCTGAAGAAGATCTGCATTTTATACTAAAAAAAATTTTTAAAATGCAAAAAAAGTCGAAAAAAGTCGGAAATAGTCGAAAAAGTCGTATAATCCGAGGCCTGGCGAAAATTTGTTAAATATTAGTGTCGTTGTATTTTAAAACTATTTCTTTGTAAAAACAATTTTCTAAGGTTTTGAAATTTCTTTTCGAATTTGGGAAAATTTTTGATAAAATTATTTTCTTTCATTTTTATTTAGAATAAAGTTAGTATTTCTTTTAGTCGATAATAATTGGTGTTTCTTTTTAAAATATGATGAAAAAAGTGATTTTATTTTCAGATTTAATTCTATACGTCTGTTTATTGTATGTTATATGTATTTTGCATTTAATTTTATAATTTTGTCATTGGTATCAAAAGACATTCAAAATTCATTGCCCATGAAAACATGGATTCCATATAATATTGATTCAAAATTTAATTTTTGGATGACTTATTTACATCAAACAACAGTAATGATGATAATGGTTAACTCACAGGTTGCATTAGATGGTCTTGCTATTGGTATGATGCAACAAATTTGTGGTCAATTGGATATTATTAGACATCGATTGAATCAAATTAATAAATTTAATATGAAAAATCACAATATTGATAATAATTCACAATTTATTATTCTTAAAGAATGCTTACATCATCATTCTTACGTCTATTTGTAAGTTATGTGAAATAATTTTATTGTATTAATTTATTTCCATATCAATGAATCGATTATAATAATAAGAGATCTATAATTTAAAATAAGCTATTAAAAATAAATAATTAATTATAATTATAATTATATTAATTATTATTATTATAAATTATATATATTTTTCTCTAGAATTGGAAAAAAGTTAAATAATCTTCTTGGTTGGATGGCTATTTTAATTTTTCTAATAACAATAATTGCTTTGTGTACCGTTATTTATCAAATAACATCGGCTAGTCCAAATTCAATGGAATTTTGGTCCTCAATTGCATCGTCCAATAGTCTTTTATTTGAAATATTTCTTTATTGTTGGTTTGGTCAGGAAATGATAGGAAAGGTTGTTTAAACAAAAATTAGAATCGAAAAGAATAAAAAAAATTTCTACAATAATTTTAATGCAATTCAAAATTTTTAATAATTAATATGCAACTTGAATAAAAATTAATTTTTAACTTAAAAACTAATTATTATTAACAAAATTGAAATTATTATGTAATTTAAATAATAAATACTATTTAAATTAAATAATAAATATTATTTAAATTAAATAATAAATATTATTTAAATTAAATAATAATTTTTAAATTTAATTTAAATACATTCTTAGAGTGCAGGTATCGCTGATGTGGCCTACGAAGTAAATTGGACAAATTTACCGATAAAATCAAAAAAATATTTAATTCTTATAATATTAAGAGCTGCCAAGCCCATTGAATTAAGTGGCTTGTCAATTGTTACAATGTCATTAGAAACTTTTCTTAAGGTATAAAAATAAGGCATAAAATAGCAATTAATAATTCCCATTTAATAAATTAATTTCATCCTAATCATGTTTTAATCCAAATTAATTATTTAATCTTTACTAACACTAATTATCAATTTAATATAATCCTTGCAGATTTTGAAAGTATCTTACTCAAGTTTTAATCTTATCCAATCCATGTAATGTGCTGGTAAAAAAAAAGTTTGATGGCAATTTAAAAAAAAAAGAGAGATAATTTTTCTATGAAACTGAAAAAAATTTAATTTTCACATATATAAGTAGTGAAAGACAATATCAGTGAGATAAATATTTAAAAATTTTGTAATATACGGATATAATTAAGAGAATGTGAAATATTTGCAGATGTGTTATATCATTAATTTTTATTGTAAAAAAATTACGATATTGTATTATATATACAGAATGAAATATTTTTTTTGCATTAAATGTAACTAAATAATAAAAAAAAAGTTTATTTTATTACTTAAGTTTCACTAATTATCCTAGGAAGCCACAATTAACGAACTGTAGTTAAAATATAATTATTAGTATAGTTAAAGACAGTCGGGCAAAATGTTAATTTTTCATTTTTTTTCTTTACAACAGTTGTAAAAAAAACAATTTTGGCTCAAACAAAACTTTTTGTTAATAATACTCTATTTAAAACGTACATTTAATTATAAATATAAAATAAATAATAAAAATTCATTTCCGATACAAAGTGCAAATAAATATCAAATAAAAAAAAAAACTTAAAAAAGTAATAATAAAAGTAAATTAAAAATATTAAATTGAAAATTAAAAACCCAATTCACGATTAGAAAAAAAAACATGAAAAAGCGAATGAAAGTAAATGAAAAATGAAGAAAAATAAATTAATATCAAACTGAAATAGCAATTTTAAATTTAAATTAAATCAATTTCAATTTAATTTAAAGGACATTTGTTCTTTCTATTCTGAATTGCATTGCACTGGAGAATTGGATTTTTACGATGCTTCTGGTTTCTATATATAATTGGAAAAATAAAATAAAAAATCTATTTAATTTGAAAATATAAAATAAAAAATTTTTTAAAAATAAAATTATTAATTACTGAAGAATTTAAAGTTGCAACTAAATATATCTTATTTATTATTTTATTTATAATAAACAAATATTTAATTTAATTTTGATAATTATTTGTTGCTTTTGAAGAAATATTTTTAAATAAAAATTAAATTTGTTCATTTTCAATTATTTTTATTTTTAATTAACTCAAATTAAAAATAACAATTTAAAATATTAATTATTCACAAAATATCACAAGCAGTTACGTTAAATTTTCTAGTTTTCAATTTTTTTTTCTACACTGCAATTAGTTTTCTTCTAAAATATATTAAATATATATTTTTAAATTAAATGTCAATTATTTAGACATTGAGGTAGTTGAATTTTTCAATTTTTTTTTCATACAGTTTCATTATTGAAGGATTTATTAACTTTTTTCGTAAATAGGACAATGGGCAAGTGAAAGACATCTCACAAATGTCCATACATCTGTATCGGTCCAATCCATCAATGGATATTCTATTTTAATTCCATTTAGAACATCATCTTTTAAATTATAAATTTCTCTTTTCTCCACTTCCGATTTTGCACCCATTAATATAAATTTTAAATTCGGTATTTTCCATTTTAGAATTTCAATATCATTTTGTGGCGTTTCTTTAAATAACATTATATCAGCATTGTATCTGAAAAAGAAAAATCCATTTAAGTTTTCAATTTCAGTTTAGATTGTAATTTAATTATTTAATTAGAGGTGCTTACGTTTCCATTATTTGATTAAGAAAATCTTCATCTGCAGGAGAAAGTGTTTCTTTTTGAAAACAAAGAATCTGTAATTTATTTCCATTCTTGAGAATTCGTTTGTTTGCAACAAATGCTAAATGTAATATTACAGTTGATTCGACATTTGAATCGAAATAAATTCCCACATTATTTGTGTCCTGATAAATATATCTATTAACAAAACAATAGCAATTAAAACAAATAGAATTTAATTAATAAAAAAATTAAAAAGAAATTCTTTTAATTACTCAATGTGCCTGAGGGAATTTTCAAAATAATTTCGTCTCTCTTTTTGTTTATTTAGAAATCTTTCGTATTTCATTATCGAATTTTCCATTGGAGAATTATCATAGTCAATTAAAATATTTGTTGGTATTAAACTACAAAATCTATCTTTTGCCTTTTGCGTCATGGCCTCTGTGTCACTCTCTATAGTGATTCGTGCTCTATAATAACTGAAAACAATATTTCTTATATTTAAATTATTTTTTTCGAATTTTTAAAATTCATTACCTGTGTATAAATTCCGGATAGGATCCAAAATTGACTAGGGGAAATTCTTTGGAAACAGATGTCAAAGCATCAGCAAATACTTCCTCTCTGGCATTCAAAAAAACTTGAGTCGTCACAAAATTTTTATTAGTTCCAAAAAGTTTCTGAAAAAATTTTTTATTTACATCAAAATTGTAATTATTTTTATAGTTTAGAAAAATTTTTTTTTTACGTTGCACAAAGATCCAAAAGATCCTCTCAAAAAATTCGGTGAACCAGGAAAAACAAATACATTTTTTAATGTTATACAAGGATAAGCCAAGGGTCGACCTGTCTCTTGATTTATGCCAAAATGTAGAGAAGCTTCCTTTGGTATCTGTAAATAGTTTTCAATAATTGATTACAATATTATATATCAATTTAATTAAAAATAAAAACTCACGTAGGCTAATTTATATCCTGGAGAAGATGCACCCTCAACTCCGAATTTATTTTTTACAATATCAACTAATATTGGATGATAATGAAGTGGAGATTCAAAAGCTTTTCCAAGACCTTAAACATTTTTTTTTTTCAAATTAAAAATTAATTCTCATCAATAATAGTATTGTAATAGGACAAATTTACAAGATAATGAAAATTTTAATTGTGAAAAAAGTTATTCAGTAAAATCACCTTCAAATGTTACATCATCGTGAGTTGGTCCAATTCCACCAGATGTAATCACATGAGTATATTTCCTAGAGAAATTACGAATTTCATTTGCAATCTCATCAACATCGTCACTTAAGACTGAAATCTTAAATAAAGGGATTACTTAAATTTACATGAGAGGGATTTAATTACAGGAATTCTGTTAATTTACAGACAAAATGTAAATGTTATTAAAATTAACTAGAATTTAATTTTATTCTAATTTAAATTAAGCTCTACTTATACACAAATTTAAATTTATTCTAATTAAATTTCATTCTATAATAATTATATCTATTATATAATTTTAAATTTAGTTTTAATTTACACTAAATTTGATAATACCTTTTTTTTCTAAAACTCACCTTCTTCACTTTCACTCCACATTTGTACAAAAGATTTGATATAAAATAAGAATTAGTATCTTTTACTTGTGCTTTTAGAATTTCATCGCCAATTACTGAAAAAAATAATAACCATAGAACTTATAGTAATTTCTTTTTTTTCTACAAAAAAAAAATACATTACTTACTAAGTATTCCGGCAGTTTGATGATTACTAAAGGTACTATTTAGACGACGAATTATTTTTAAGTAATTTTTCACATTAATTCCAAAAATATCGTAAAAAGCTCTGAGAGATTGCATTTTTTTTTTTTTTTTAATAAAATATTTTTAAAAACACCTGTAAAAATTTGTTAATCTTTGAGAAGAAATTAAATTTTATTTATTTACAGTCAATATATTAATAATAATTTGTAAGGAATTAAAAAATATAACACAATATTAAATATTAATAAACAAGGAACATATTTGCAATTAGTAACTACAAATAAAATAAAGTAAAACAATTTCTTTCTTATAGGTTATGTTGTACAATCACTCGAAAACATTACAAATTCCAATTACCTACCTTTATATTCTTTCCTTCAGCAAACTTAAATTTTTTTCAATATTGAATCCACATGTGTTACTAATAAATATTTATAAAAAATTGCTAAATAAAAGTCATTATTGTCATGTTGACGGTCGTCTCACGGTCACTTCCAAGGTTGTGTGAGTTTAAATATACAAACAGGAAATTTTGTAAACAATTAAATAAATTACGGGATGTAAAATAAATTAAAAATTGTAATAATACATTACAAATAATTTAGTCAACAAAAGTTTTATAAATAAACAATTTCAAAAGAGCTCATTTTTGTTGACAACCATGCGCGGCGCCATGACACTTTTAGTCACGTGATCAATGTATAGTTCACAGTAATTGCGATAGAGGCGCTCACCACATTTTCCGTTGAAATCTCAAATCAGTTAAAATTTTATTTTATTTATACTTTTTCAATTAGTTTTGTAAAATAAAAAGTTGTTTTTTAAGTGAAAAATTATGAAAACTCTTTGTTTTAACAATAATATTAATATCCTCAATTGATTGAATTAATTTATTTGAAAAATGGATTTCACGCAAGAGGTAAATCAATATTTTCATTAACATTTCAAAAACATAACCTCAATTTTTTGAATTTTTCGTTTATATATATATAAAAAACAGATATAATTTCTTTATAAACATTCCAAATTGATGATTATTATTGAATAAAGTAATAAATGTTATTTTTTTTTTGGAAAAAAATTAAATATTCCTTTTTATGTAAATTTGAAAAGAAAAAAAAATTATAATTAGGCAAAATTTCTTTTTTTCAATTTTATAGATTGATCGTCATTCCACATTAAGTTCGACAAACAGTTCCGCACTATCAGTAGATTCAAGACAATTTGAGAGCGATGTAATTCCCGAGATGCAGGAAAAATTAAAAATACTAACAGACGGAATAGTTGAGAGTGTTGCAGAAAATGTGGCACTTGAAAATGAAATGTCATTATTTTTAAAAGAAATTGGCATTGAATTTAAATTATTGCCAAATGACATTAAAGATGGTCTTAATAAAGTTTGTGACATTTTAAAAGTCGAAGGATTAAGCGACATGGATTTGTCAACATTAGAAATACACATGCAACAAAAGGAATTTGAAAATAAACAAAAAACTCGCGAAGAAGCTGAATTCAAAATGAATTATGATATTGTATTTAAAAAATATAAACGAATACAAGAAAAAGTTGATTCAGTGAAAAATTCCATTCAATCATTGGAGAGGAAAATTATTAATTGGAATGAGGAGAAAAATGAGGAATCTGAAAGATTGTTAATTCTTTCGAAATTAGATACTTATAGAGGTAAAATTGTCAAAATGAATGAGCAATTAAAAAATTTAAATATCAACGATTTACATCCTGATATAATAATAAAATCATCATATCTATGCATGGAGAAATTGGATGAATTAAATGAATTAAACAGAAATTTGAGTAAATATGCAGATTTACCGCCGAATTTATTACAAGCAAAGAGTGCCCTTGAAAGTAAAAAAAAGGAACTAGAGAAGATTGAGAAGACAATTATTGAGAGACTTATGTGACGCGCAAGAATAGTTGTAAATTTTTCTATTTGTTTTTTAATCCGAAGATAATAAAAAAAGTAAGTAAATAATAAAAAAAAAATTTCCTTCTCTATAATAATTTTTATTTAAAAAATTTATTATTATTATTATTATTATTATTATTATTAAGTTTATCGAAATATTAATTAAAATCGAAATGAAAAATTTAGTAAAAATATTTTTAATTTTTACATTTATACAATATAACAGAAGATAATTTCAAATTGAAAAAAAAACAAACAAATTTGATAGTATTTTAAAAAGAAAATTGGAAACATAAATGAAAAATATTTTAAACTCAATTTGAAATTTAAAATCCGTATTTAGATTGCGTTTGTTGTCGAGTGAGTTTATTTTGGGCCCATTGATTTTTAAGTTCAACCTCCATGGCTTTTGCTTGATGTGCCAAATATGTGATTTGATGTTTCTTTTTCGATTGACCACTTGGTCCGGCACCTTGTGAAATTGGTCTTGTTACTGGTTCCTCTGTTAATGCCTTTACCATCCAATCTCTTTCATCTGGTTTAATATCCTCACCATTAATATCAATAATATCAACATCATGAAATTCTTTATTTTTCCTCTTCACACCCCGTTTACCGCAAAGATATTCAATTGCTTTTTCATCAAAAACAAGATTACCCGTTGAATCAACATTATAATCTTGTTCTGGTATTGGTAATTTTGGTCCAACTTGAGCTTTATTTTTATAAATAATATCCTCTCTTGGTAAATTAATTACATTACTCACAAGTGTTTTGTTAGAAATTTGTGCCTCCTCTGTCTCTTTATTAATTTCTCCTTGACTATTATTTTCTAATTTTGAAAATTGTTTTGAATTTTTCATTGTTTCATTAACAATATCGGAAATTGAAACATTGGATAGGGGAATTTCATCATTTGTCGATGATAATGAGAAAAAATCAATTTTTGAGTTATTGTCCTCGTCATCAGAATTTGAATCATAATTAATTAGGGAATTTTGTGATTTCTTCGTGAATTTTAATTTGTCGATGATATTTCTCTCTTGAGGTTTTGGTTTTGGAATTTCTTTTTTAGTAATTACATGGGGAACCATTGGTTTGGATTTTAATAATAATTCCGATTTCGGTGGTGGAAGAACAGCGAATAATCCAGTTCCTTTCTGCGATTATAAAAATAGATTTTATTAATTTTTCAAAATATGTAAAAATTGAAAAAAAAAATATGCGTAAATAGTAATAAATTTACTAATATGTATTTGAATAATAAATATTACTTGTGATGGTTTAGTTCTGGATTTCGCTTCTTTTTCCTGGTCGAGATCTTTAAACTGTAATATAAATTTTTAAAGGAATGTAAATATAATAAATAATGTTTAATAATTAATAATTGATAACTTACATCAGAAAGAGAAGGTACGGATATTTTGACAGGGCCTTTTTCTTTTTTCTCTGGTTTTTCTAACAATAATTTCGATGGAGGTAAACAATCATCATCATCATCCTCTATTGTCGTTTCGACAATATCCTTATGTTTTGGTTGTGGCAAAAGATTGAAATTAATCGTACCATTATTATGAATATCGTTTACAATATTTTTGTTTACATTTAAATCCTTTTCTTGAACTATTTTCGGAATTGGTAAATTAATACGATTTCTATTTTCGTTTGTTAATGATTTCTCAGCTTTTGGAATATTATCTATTGTGATAGTTGTTTGTATTTTCGTTTCTTGTAAAGTTTCATCTTTTATCGGGATATCGATAATTTTTGAAATTTCAATATTATTTTCTATTATACTTTTCGTGTTATTTAATTGTTTTGTTGAATCTTCATTTGTAACAATCTCCTCGTCACTACTTTCATCACTACTTCCATAGGCAACGAGGCTCATTTTTTTTAAGGGCTTGCAATTAATTTATTATTTATGAAAATACGATTTTTTTAATATTTTTTCTGATAAGAAAACACAATTATTGACAACAAAAAGGCTCTAAAATTTTGACGTTTTAACAACTACGACAACCATGAGAAACATAACCTATTTTTTTTGTTAAAATTTCAAATTACCAGCACTAGGCGGCGTGAGCGTAAACGTCAAAATTACGAGGGAAAATTTGAATATAAAATTTCATTTACCAAAGAAATATTAATGTTTTATTATTGTTTATCACTTTATTTAAAAAATTTTTATTTTCTTTTGTCATTTTCATTATTATTGATCGTTACAATACAAGTAATTCCTTAATAACAGATCGATTGTTGTATTCGTCGGTAATAGCCCCTGTTGAAGATCTATATTCATACACCCGTGTATTTCTGAAGACGAATCTGTTTTAAATTACCGACAATAGTTTTATTATAAAATAAAAAAAAATAATTAAATCATTTTTGGTCTTTTTTTACAATTTTCTTTAAATTGAAAAAAAATTTAAATCTCGGAAATTTAATAATAATATTTAATAATGATAATAATAATAATAATATGTTGAAAAATAAATTTAATTAATAATTATAATATACTGTCTATAAAATAATAATAATAATAATAATAATAAAAAGATAATAATAATAATATTTATAAGTTTTTATAAAAATCAAGTTTTATATATTTGAATTAAATTTTCATTAATTAAATTAATTAATGAATTAATTAAATTTCAAGTAATTATTCTGCAATAATTTTAACATAATTTGAAATTTCTTAAGGGAAATAAAATAGCAAACTTAATTAAAAATTTAGTAAAAAAATATTTTAAATAACAAATATGTTTTACTATTTTTTAATTTTTAAAAAGCGTTAAATCTTTATTTTTAATCATTTTGATCCTTTAATTATTATTAATAAGTTTCTAAATTTTTTCTTTATCTAAAATTTTTATTATTATTATTTTTATTATAATAATTAGAATTATAACTATAAACTTTAAATTGATTTTTATTTATTTAGAATTATAAATATAAATTAAAAAATTATAATTATAATACTAAATAATAAAATTATATTTTTTTCAAAATTTGATATGAAATATCTCGTTTATATTATCGATAAAGATTCTGTGAAAGTTTTCATTGAGAAATTTGCAAATACTTAAATGAACTTATATTATATATACATATATATATATTTTAGAGAAGTCTTGTTCGGTCGTAATGAAGTTTCATATTATTTGAAGCGAACCTCGATTATAGGCAGTTTTGACGTTGATGTGTAGATATTAGTAGAGCTAATTTGATAGTTTAATCAATTTCCGGAATCCGACGGGAGTTTAATAGTGATGTCATCATTTTCAACAGGGCACAATGGGGTTAATCTCGCTCGACGAGCTAATATTCGGAGAGTTAACAGAGTTTCAAATGCAACCAGGGCCGTCGTTTGCTTATCGTTCATATATATATATATATATATATACATACATACAGCTTCACATCACGTGCGCATATATAATTGCCCGAAATTTAAATTTTCATAATTTATATCGAAAAAAAAATTTCCAATCATCTAAAATAATATAATCACAGATAGATATAAAAAAATAATATAAATACTATTTTTAAAAAACTAATTTTCATATTTTCTAATTAAAAAATTAAATCAATAAAAAGGAAATTGTTAAAAAAAAGTTTAAAAATCGTTAAAAAAATATATTTAAAACAAGTTGTAAATTCAGATGTTCATTACATGAATATTTTGCTTCCTGTTTACGATCAGCAAAACAAATTTGCTTCCTCGTGGAGAAAGCATTAACATTGAAATAAACATACAAAAATAATATAATAATATATATTTACACATTTGAGTACCTTTACATTTGAGTTAAATTTAAAGAATTAATGGAAGTTAAAAAATCAAAAATTCATATTTTAACTGAAATTTCTAAATATTAATGAAAAATAATATATAATTTATAATTATTTACAATTATATCGATTCGTTTTAATGCAATTTATTGCAATTTACAATTTAGATTTAATTGGTAGGGGTTTTTTTTTAGAGGTAATATGTTTTTTTTGAAGGTAAAAAAATAATAGAGACATGCTGTTTAATTTTATTTGACTGTGTAGGGAATTTTTGCATTTTCCAGGAAAACATTCTATCCACAGTACAAGTAGTAGAACAAGTAAATATTTAGTTGGACGGGTTTGCAATTTTGTTAGTAATACAAGTAAATAATTAGTCAGACATTCTTGATTTGACCTTCAAACGACCTTGACTTGACCTTCAAATGACCTTGAATGACCTTGAATGACCTTGACTTGACCTTCAAATGACCTTGAATGACCTTGACTTGACCTTCAAATGACCTTGAATGACCTTGACTTGACCTTGACCTTGAGTCATACTTTTAAACCACTTCTAAATTTTTTCAGTGGTTTAAATAAATATTTAGCCAGACGTTTAAAATTTTCTCAGTAGTATCATTCAGTAGTATTACTCAGCAGTAGTACAAATTTTTCAGTAGTGTTACTCAGCAGTAGTACAATTTTCTCAGTAGTATTACTCAGCAGTAGTACAAGTAAAAATTTAGTTGGACGGGTTTGCAATTTTGTTAGTAATACAAGTAAATATTTAGTCAGACATTCTTGATTTGACCTTCAAACGACCTTGAATGACCTTGACTTGACCTTCAAATGACCTTGAATGACCTTGACTTGACCTTCAAATGACCTTGAATGACCTTGAACGATCTTGACTTGACCTTGAGCTTTCAGTAGTTCAAATAAATATTTAGCCAGACGTTTAAAATTTTCTCAGTAGTATCATTCAGTAGTATTACTCAGCAGTAGTACAAATTTTTCAGTAGTGTTACTCAGCAGTAGTACAATTTTGTCAGTAGTATTACTTAGCAGTAGTACAATTTTCTCAGTAGTATTACTCAGCAGTAGTACAATTTTCTCAGTAGTATTACTCAGCAGTAGTATAATTTTCGCAGTTGTATTACTCAGCAGTAGTACAAGTAAAAATTTAGTTGGACGGGTTTGCAATTTTGTTAGTAATACAAGTAAATATTTAGTCAGACATTCTTGATTTGACCTTCAAACGACCTTGAATGACCTTGACTTGACCTTCAAATGACCTTGAATGACCTTGACTTGACCTTCAAATGACCTTGAATGACCTTGAACGATCTTGACTTGACCTTCAGCTTTCAGTAGTTCAAATAAATATTTAGCCAGACGTTTAAAATTTTCTCAGTAGTATCATTCAGTAGTATTACTCAGCAGTAGTACAAATTTTTCAGTAGTGTTACTCAGCAGTAGTACAATTTTCTCAGTAGTATTGCTTAGCAGTAGTACAATTTTCTCAGTAGTATTACTCAGCAGTAGTACAATTTTCTCAGTAGTATTACTCAGCAGTAGTACCATTTTCGCAGTTGTATTACTCAGCAGTAGTACAAGTAAAAATTTAGTTGGACGGGTTTGCAATTTTGTTAGTAATACAAGTAAATATTTAGTCAGACATTCTTGATTTGACCTTCAAATGACCTTGAATGACCTTGACTTGACCTTCAAATGACCTTGAATGACCTTGACTTGACCTTGAATTGACCTTCAAATGACCTTGAATGACCTTGAACGACCTTGACTTGACCTTGAGCTTTCAGTAGTTCAAATAAATATTTAGCCTGACATTCTAAATGTTTGAAATTTTTTCAGTAGTATAAATAAGTTATAGCAGTAGTACCAGTAAATATTTTGTTAGACACGTTCTAAAAAAATCGAATAAAATTGATTTTTCTTATTCTATTGCAAATTAATGGAAGTTAAAAAATCAATAATTCGTATTTTAACCGAAATTTCTAAATATTAATGAAAAATAATATATAATTTATAATTATTTACAATTATATCGATTCATTTCAATGCAAGAAACACAAGTATTTCATATTTAAACTTGAATTTAAATAAATAAACAATTTTTCAGCTAAAATGTGTATTTTCTATTTTTAACTTTCATTAATTTATTAAATTTACCTCAATTGTAAATTTTATATATACCAATCGATTCGTTTTCATGTAAGGAATACAATTATTTCATCTATAAACTTAAATTTAAATAATCACAAAATACCGATCGATTTATCTTGACGTAAGGAATAGGATTCTATTATATGTAACCTTAAATTTTTCTATTTAAAAATTTTTCGATTAAAAAAAATTTTTTGGAAAAAAGACGATGAAATTTTTTTTTTGGGTATTTTTAAAATCCTTTGGTCTGATTTGAGATATTAATATGATAAATGAGCCTACCAAATTTTATCTAAATCCATTAAAACCTGTTAAAAGTTATCTTCTTAACAAAAAAGGGATCCACACACATATACATACATTCGGACAATTGATCAGGATCTCATATAACATGTTTCCATATAGACAAAAATTTGTTTCCAAAACTTTGAAAATTTTTATAAACAAAAGGACTACAAAGCTTCCTCCACGAGAAAGCAAAAAATGTACTTTTTATAATTTTTTTTTTTGGGTATTTTTTTTTTTTTATTTTGTTGTCTGCGCGAGAACGTGACAAATTTTATTTATATAGTTTCTTGTATAAAGTGGAGTTATCGTGATTTTTTTTTTTTGACAAAAAAAAAAAAAATTCGCCTGTTTTATTAGAGAGGGTAGATTTAAAAAAAAATAATAAAAAAAAATAATAAAAAAAAAAAAAAATTGAAAAAAAGTGAAAAGATTGATGAGAAAAATATTCGGATTTGAGTGAAAAACTAGGGGACGACTAACCGAGGGATTAAAGATTCGTTTGGGATGTATTTGCAAGTTTCGTTCGAGCGGCCCTGTATGCAAATCCCAAGCGGGCATATTAGGTGGAGGTACGCAGTTAGGCAATAACCGCTGTCAATAGAAACCCTGCGCCTCCTCTCCTGGAGTGGTCCCCACTCGAAAATGCTACTCGCTAAATTAGGTAGGTTATATGGGCTTCGTTTCATTTGCGAGCAAACTTTAATAAGCGCTAAAATTGCGTAAAAGAGCAAGGTTTTCAGACGGACGGCGAATCAGGGCCAATGTTTCCGCACTGATTTCACC